TGTAGTCAGTTCCGGCTAAACGTTTATATACGTTTGTTATATGCTTTATTGAAACTGTGTGTTGGTGACAATATTTTCAATTGTCTGTTGAGTTGGTTGAGCTTTTCATTATGTATTTTTTGAAGTTTATTATCAGTATTTCAATTACAGGAATTTATAACAGGCCTACGGGAGAAAAGTTTTGCTTCCCGATACGGGTGGACAATGTCCCCACCCTTAGCTTCACAAATTATATCAATTTTGACATTTATTAATAGAAGACATTGTTGGAAATAACATTGACTATTTTGATGAATGCGTTGCATTACCCCCTTCTGTTATCAACCATCAACGTTTTTTTCTGATATACGCAAATTATGAATGCAGTGCCAACCCAGTTGGTATAAACACGTTTGGAAACATGCCCTCTACCATTGCTGAGTTTCTGAACCTTCCGGGAACCAAAGGAATGTACAGGTCACTGTTTCAGAAGGTCTCCTGCTTCTTTGCTAGCAGAATCAGGAGCGAATATAACGGATATTAGGACGCACGGAGAATGGAAGTCTACAACAGTAGCTGATGGTTACATTGCAGTAGAAATAACAACTGCGCAGTGAGGGATCGTAACTGACCTATCTCACTCGCACCTACCTATACATATACTACTTTGCTCTCGCTCCTACAACTACCCTGTATGCTTGTCTGGCAAGAGGTTGGAATTATCAAAACTGTCTGGCTAATGGAAAAATATCATATAATCATTACCCAAGTATTATATATAAAAATGAATTTTTATACTAGAAGGTAAGTAGAATTACAATTTCATGAACATTAAGAATATCTGGCGAGAAGTTGCCATGATGTTGAGTGTCTGGCAATGAATGAGGTAATTTAAAAAAAATGCTGAAGGTAATTTAAAAAAATAATACCTTAATATTTGATAAATTTGGATCAGTATTTTACATATCTTTAGTACCGTTTACCTGCCAAAGACACGGTATCCTAAACTTCATGACGGTCTACTGTTCTAACCGATGTCGGAAGTATACGCTGAGAACCTTTCAGCTTTTATAAAATAACGAATGTCTGGCGTTCACGAGCTCTTGCTCTTGTCTTCTTTCGCGAGTGCAAAAATAACCATTTTGTCCCTCTCGAGTCTCTGAGGCTGTTAGATTCTATCTAGGAAGAAGTTTCCACAACATCAAAGAAAGTTTGGCCATTTGTCTCTCTTCCAGAGACACTTTTCGCAGGGTTTGAAATCCATAAATAATTATTATGGGTTTTCAATTGATTATTTTTCTCAGATCGATAAAGTGATCAAAAAATCGAAGGCTAGGCCACCAAAACAGAGTTTTGCAGTTATAAAACTGAAAGTCATCTAGGTATAATTATCCTTGACTCATACATGACTCTCTGAGCAACTCGAATGAATTTGAAAATCGAATAAAACTCACCAATACAATCAAGAGATACAAGAGACTGAATTGAAAAATGAATTGCCATAATTCACTTATTCACATAATTTCCATACATAAATAAGACAACAATCCTAATAATAAAATCAAGTGAATGGGTATAGTTGAAAAAGAACTGTTGTCTAAAGTTCGAATGAATTATGTGTCAGCCCCCTCATCATTGTGAACTTAATTCCATTGAACAGTTCAAAGTAGATACTCCTAAAAATGTCGATTTCGAATAATGGCGAAAATGTATTGAACATGTTATAGAAGGAGATAACAACATGTGGAAATTCAGCTGAAGATATTGTAGTCACTTCAATATACCTAATGTACCTAATGTCTTCTCAAATAAGCAGTGTTTAAGTAAAGTTTTCACTTGTAACGTTAGCAATGCTAAGATTTAATTTGAATTTTCAGAGTTATGGTAAGAAATCTCATCGAAAAAAAGGTGGCTATGGTTGCAATTGGATATCCATTCACAACACTCAATAAAGTGAGAATTCGAATTTGTCTTTCGTCTGGACACACAAAGGAACAATTGGATTACGCTCTGGATGCCATACAGAAAGCGGTAGAAGAAATCGGACTGAAATATTCACGCAAACCAATCAACAACTTGCCAATAGACTATTATAAAATCAAAATACATTGAAATATATGAGATTTATCCAACAATGGAAGCAGCCACCAAAAATATCTTCTCATTTCCTTTGAATTTATCGAATTTATATTATACTCGAAAATTATATACTGTCAGATTGAATCAAAGACAACTGAATCATCAAAACCAAAACCGACAAAACCGAAATGTACTATATCTCAAACTACACTCACCAACGACGAAAAACACATACACGGTAGAGACTTTCCAAAACTACTAGAAAAGTTCTGAACAAGGAAATATTTTTCAACTTATTACACCATATGCCAGAAGAGACCGCAGAAGACATAAGAGCTAAGGTCGTGTATGTCCTTGAAAACATGCAAACCATCGCCAGGTTTGTTCTTCGCCAGGAGTGTTAATACTCCTAGATAATGTTTCAACTAAAACGGTTGAAACTTTCTTTCCTGCAGGTGGAAAATAATTGAAAGATAATGAGTGATATACAGTGAGGACGTGAAAAGTTTTCCCATACCCCCTTAACCTTTGAACGGAACAAGCTATCGAGGTCGGGTAAAATACAGATAAAAAGGTACTTCTTTCACTACGTTTTGGCATACAAATGATTGTGGTCACGTGGCCTAGTGTCAAGAGGGCACCATCAACTTTATTTTAATGTAAAGGGGGGTCACGTGGTTCCTGGTTTTGAAGGCTTTCCGATTATCTATCCAATACCGCTGTATTAGTGTAAATTGACCAAGCCGTTTCAAACTGACAAGCGTTTGAAATTTGTTTCAAATATTTAACAAATGAATTATTTTAACTGATAATTGCAGCAGAATTTTTATTTCGTTACTGATTCTGATCGAAAAGCCAATGTTTTATGGTAAAGCAGGTGCGCATATTATTGGTATTTTGAATTGTGGTTTTTGTTTCAGTTTTCCATCCCTGAGTTATTTTGCTGGAGACTCCAAATTGCATTTCATTTCAATGTCAGTCTAATATTGACGTTTATCATATCGATATTTCTGACAGTTTTCATAGGTTTCAGCATTTCTTTATAATTTTCGAATGTCTCAGCCCCCTCCTTTAGAAGAAAAAAACCGAAGCTATTTCAATTTACGCTGAAGCTAGGCGTAATTACCATGAAGCAGAAAAAATATTTAATGAGCGCTTCCCAAGTAATCCAATATCTTGTACCTACTTAATGGAATTGGTCAGTAAATTTTATTTATTACTATTTTAGCCACGGTATCTACCACCACCAAACACAAATTTCACCCATATAAACAAAAAATTCTGCATCAATCAACAGAAGATGACACGGATAGAAGACTGCAGTTTTGTGAGATTATGTCTGATCGAATAACCCAAAATCTCGGTTACATCTGATCTTTGTTATGAATCTCTATATGCATTTCATCGAGTGGACAAAAACTTTCTTTCCCAAATTATTTTTAAAGGTTATGTTGAAATTCCATGCCAAACTTCAGTTGAACTATCAGCTGTTCCAATCAGAAATTTCAAATTAATAAGAAACCAATATCAACCAGACATGCGCGTTGACAACGATTTACAAACAGTTGGAAATCTGTTTGTGACTCATGGTTGGACCGAACCTTTAATGAGCGCTTCCCAAGAAATCCAATATATTGTACCTACTTAATGGAATTGGTCAGTAAATTTTATTTATTACTATTTTAGCCACGGTATCAACCACCACTGTGGTTGATAAATTAAAAATTCTGCAGCAATCAACAGAAGACAACCCGGATAGAAGACTGCAGTTTTGTGAGATCATGTCTGATCGCATAACCCAAAATCTCGGTTACATCTGATCTTTGTTATGAATCTCTATATGCATTTCATCGAATGGGTTATAATGAATCATTTGAGTACTGAAAATTCTTCCGATCTTGTTCAATTTTTTACAAACAGAAATTTATATATATTGACAAAATAAGGGTGGGACCACCCTCTTAGTATTAATCAATATGAATGGTATTCCATTGTTGTTTCCTATATGTTCTTATAATAGATTTTCGTGGATTTCGATTTTCTCGCCAGAAATTGACCGAGTAAAAATTTTATATAGGGGGTTGAACCTCCTTTCAGTCTATCAACTATAATGAATCAACATGTGCATTCTATGTCAGTCACGTCATGTTTGTGGTAGATAGATATCAGTTACCAGTGACATTGTAATTACTTGTAGAAATAGGGGTGAGATCACCCTTTCTAGGTTCAAACAGCCTGGTTACCTCTCAATTTTCACTAAAGCTGTCATTTTGCATTATTTTGTGTTTTAAATCCAAGTATATCTCGACATTTGTTTGCCAAACTCTTTTTTGAAGGTATTTCTATTAACGGTAGCGACTCGCCTTTTTAGGGTAATCTTTGATATGAATACCAATATGCGTGACATATTTCGAGAAACTATCATTATGAGCATTATTCATCTGGTCAACTGTAAAACTGAAGGAATCGGATTTAAATCTAAAGCTAACTTCAGCCACATTACGTAAATGCCTTTTTCATCTGCACGCAATTAGGATACAACTCCTGAATCATATCTTGGAAAAAAATTGTTTATTACATTGAACAGGAATAACTATCAATTACACAACGATTATATTGTCAGTTTTTTGAACTTTGAGTAAGTTTCCTCATCAACAGTAATTTATTTTCGCCTCTTCATAATATTTCTACGTTTGAATATCATCTGAAGTTGATCAATTATATTTGCACGACTCGTTCATTTTCTCCTTTTGTTGAGGAATCTGTTTTTTTTCCCTACGGCAATACGTACCTGTTCCATTTTTGTTTGTATCAGTAATTCTTTTTCGGAAATTCTACTGACCTCGTCCATGGCATGAATGAAATTGAGGACACATGCGCACATTTATGTTGCAGGTGGATTATTACAGATGATTGCTTTTTATTTTTTCCTTTGAAACATAGGTACGATATATGATCAGTACCGGCGAACCTTCGCTTGTTGACGGGTCTTCTGTTTTTATGCAACTTGAGAACCGGTGTTTTTCGTATATCGATATCGACAACAGCAAATTAGGCATGTCTACGACTTTAAATCATGTTGAAATAACATCAGGTTATGAAGTTATTGGAAATGAACCCTTGAATTTAGTTAGTTCTGAAGAAGGATTTCAAGTAAGTGATTGCTTAGGGCCAAGTTCAATGATTACGACTGGAAAATTATTCTGAGAATATCACAGCAGACGTTTCTGGTGTTCGAATTACACCATAATAGTCTACTCCACAAGTGCCATTTCACATAATTTCAGTTCGCCTACTTTGAAAATGATTCAGGTGTCATTCGATTCGTAATTTCATTCAGAGTAATTTACTATTCGAGCCAAGTTTTGCTAACGAATAGTTGAAAAGTTGTAAACAATTTAATAAGAAGTGGATCAGTTTTTGTATACACATCAAAAGCTATTGTAGATTGTGTGAAAGCCGGGTTTTTTGACCGCGGTCTGCAAGACGTTACGTCTACTACTGCGGTAGACGCCACCAAAGGTGATGTGGTAACGATTGGTGGCCGAGTTGGTGCTCAAGTTGTTGTTACCATTCCGAACGCGGTAACTACGATACTGTTATTTGACTCCGGTTTTATATTATCATTAGTGGAATTGGCTTGATTCTATTAAATTGAATTACCTAACCTTGCTCGTGTACCTTTGAGGACAGGTAGCCAGAATCAGATAGTGTGAGTGCTTTCTTTGTTGAGGAACGTTAAACTACAGCTGATTTGTCGGTTTGTCCGAGTCGACAATTTATCTTGTGTTCAGAGAGACGGGTACACACACTTCTTTTCGTGGTTCCAATGTAGACCAACCCACAGCTACAAAGATTCCGGTATGCCCCAAGTGTTGAGGTTCTTAGCTGTCCTCAGGCTTTTGTCTCATAGTTTTTGTCGACCGAAATATTGGTTTCACGTCGTGTTTCTCTAAGATTCTCCCAATCCTGTCTCTAACATTTTCAACATAGGGAAGGAAAGCTTTTCCTTTGAACTTTCCATCTGAGAATATTGTGTATTTCATCAGTTCGGACTTTCATTGTCTAATATAATATAAATTGATTTGAATTCCCTGAAAGAATCTGTAAAAAATTAAAAAGATTCACCGAAAAATAACAATTTTATGAAACAAAAAACTGAAATTACAAGGAAATAGCATACGAGCAACAATCAAAATAATAAAAAAATTTAATATTAATACAAGCTGAAAATTAAAAATATTATTAACAAAAAAATAAAAATAAAAATTAAAAGATTCCAAACCAAGTTACGTCACGACGTTTCGATTGTTAGTATCCACAATCGTCTTCGGGTGATAACTGGACTTATTCCTCCGAGATCTGACTATTTATAGGTCATTCGAATGATATCACCCATCCCCTCTTCCTTCTCCCCGCTTCATTGGTTTTGGCGGGAGATGACCGTTTGACGGGAGTTGGTCGTTTTCCGCTCGATTAAAGGTTTCCAAATATTACGTATCTCTACGCTAGCTTGACTAAATGCGTTGTTGGACAACATATACGCGGCTTCTTTGAATTTTCTCCTAGACCAGTGTTCCTCTTTGTGGATGATTTCAGCTTGAGCCCACTTGATGTTATGTTGATGAGTCCAAACACGCTCTGCTATTCCGGATTTGCTGGTTTCTCCTCACTGTGTGTGTTTCTTCTGCTCAGCAATGCGCACTCGCAGGGTATCCGGTAAATGCAATTCTTGAAATCGCAGTCCGCGTTTGGTGGCATGGTTTTCGTGAGGCTGCTACGGATAGTGTTCCCAGATCTGAAACAGGTACTGATGTTATACCTAGACCCAATCCTTCCTAACCTTTCTGATTATCCTCTGATGTAGGGAAGTACAAGTACTGGTTGGGGAGGCTTCTCTTCCTTGTGGAGTCTTGCTGTCTTCTAGCTAAAACCTGTTCTATCATCACTCTGGAGTAACCCTTCCGTTGAGGGTCATTTTTAAGGGTGCCTAGTTTCTTCTAGAGACCTTCCTTTATATTACAGAGCCCGAAAGCTCGGTCTAGTAGAGTCGATTGATGGTGGTTGGATTCCTGGTTCAGATACTGTCCCGTGTGAGTGGGTTTTCGGTATACAGATGTTTCCCATTTAGTGTTGGTCCTTTTCACCAATACGTCTAAGAAAGGCAATTCGTTGTGGACTTTCTTTCCATTGTGAGAGTGATGGAGGGACTTACGTTGTTGAGAGACTTACGGGGGACTTACGAGGCTTCTTGTGGACTTCTTCAATGGCCAGAAAGGAAAATACACGAAGATCGTAAGAGACCCTACTGCATCAATTGAAAGAAAGTTGTACCAGACTTTAAAAAAACACCAAGTCTATTTTTCGGAAAAAGAGAGATCGTCAATAACACCGCACCACAGTTAGCCCTTTCACTTGTATAGACTACCCAAAATCCACAATTTTTTTATTTTTTTGGTTGTTGCTTATATGTTATTTCTGTGTAATTTCAGTTTTTTGTTTAATAAAATTGTTATTTTTCGGTTAATCTTTTTAATTTTTTACAGATTCTTTTAGGGATTTGAAATCAATTTATATTATATTAGAAAATGGAAGTCCGAACTGATGAAATACACCACGAAACATTGTCAACCACCTTCAAATAAACGTGAGAATATTGTGCTGTGACATTTTTCTCAGAGAGGCTGTCACAGGCAAAAAAATCCGTGAATATGTCTGCATCTTTGATACCTGAGAATACTCTCCAGATAGAATGAAGGGGTTCAGGTATTGGAAGAGAACTATTTTGCCCCCTAGTATGTTTTACTGTAAAAATGGGTTGATCCATCGCTAGTGGCGGGCAGTGTATATCACTTTGGCTAACCCCATTTAGGTGGTAGGTGCATTTAGAGCATTTACATCAGTCCTGAGAGTTTCATCATTCTACCTCGATTATTAACGAAGATACGGGGGTGTTTCCATGAGAAGTGAGACACACTGTATACAGGGTGTTTCTTAACTACGGTACGAAACGTCAGCGGGTGATATGTTAGGTCGTTTTATGAAAAAAATTCCTATAAACATATGTCCGGAGTTGCTTCGTTTCTGAGATACAGGGCCTTGAAGTTAAAAAACCAGATTTCATAAAATATCATAAATATCCTTACACCGATTAGGTTGAAAGTTGCTACAGTTATTTGAAGTAATAGGGCGCTTATTTAGCCCTAACTAGATTGAAATTATTGAGTTCAGTGGAGTCTCCAACAATATTGGAAAAAAAATATACGCCACTGACTCGTAGTAGTTTTTAATTTTTTCAGCTTGTGTTTTTTTCATATCTAGCTTCGTTTTCGAGAAAAAAATTGATGCCACTTTGCATATCATGAACACCTGTTTTGGAGAGTAGCTATACTTGATGCGATAAAAGAAGATTCTTCAAATAGTAGCAGGAAGATTGCACTGCAGCTGCAGCTTCGAAGCTCCTATACAGCAAGATTAACAGCTGAATCCTACACGGGCTTTTTGCGTGATCATTTATCCATTTTGTTAGAAGAAGTGCCGGTACTTGTGAGAGGCAACATGTGGTTTTTGCACGACGCGGCTCCAGTTCATTTTAGTGTTCTTGCTTGTCAGCATCTCGACATCATCTATCCTAATCGCTGGATTAGACGTGCAGGACTTCCAAATTGGCCAGCTCGCAGTCCTGATGTGAATCCTCTAGATTTATATTTATAGGGTTATCTGAAGGCTCTTGTTTATAAAACTCCTGTACTAGATGTAAATGACTTGAGAAATCGAATAATTGACAATTACAATGTCATAAGGAATACTCCAGGTATCTTTGAACATGTCAGTCAATGACAAATCGATTGCAGTCGTTTATTTAATCAGAAGGTGGACATTTTGCTCATCCACTTGAGGTCGAACTTGTTCATTATTTACTTCTGGTTTTCATTTTATGTTGTCCATGAATAGTTTTTAAAAGTGATTTTTTTCTCCAAAAAGGAACTTTGATATGAAGAAATCACAAACGACGAAAATGTGTGTATATCCAGTTGCCACTGGACCTAATAATTTCAATATATATGGGGCTAAATAAGCGCCTTATTACTTCAAATAACTGTAGCAACTTTCAACCTAATCGGTGTGAGGAGATTTTTTATGATATTTTATATGTACTTTTAACGACCTAACGAATCACCCTCTGAAGTTTCGTACCGTAGTTAGGAAACACCCTGTGTACTTCATATTCCTTATTTTAACATATTTAAACTTTAGTCTTTGAATTATTATCTTTATTCACAGTAATTTCTTTTTGACGTACCATATTTACAAATAGTATCAAACATGGTGAATAAAGATATTATTATTATTTTGCGCTGGTCAGGCCCTAACCCCCGAAGTCCCGATACATTCGGGAGGGCACGCCAGTATTATCAACCAATGTCCACTCCCCACACCGTGAGGTAAGTGATCATTGGGTCCGAGAATCATGTGCCCTGAGCAAGCGCAATGAGCCAAGAATGACAGCCTTCTGCATCTGTGCGGCTAAGATTTCTGCCTTAGTGCGGCAAGCCGGTATGATTTTGAGATTCGAGAGTAGAGAAGACATCATTCCACCAAGGACTCCAATAATCAGANTTCACTACTCCAAACGAGTAGAGTAAGATTGGAACGGCAAGCATATTTGTTGCGACAGTTTCGATGACCAGATCTGTCGAAGAATATTATTATTATTATTATTATTCCATACTTGAGCATTTTCTATTGTTTGAAACGCGAACATTTCGAATAGAGCGTGCACGAGCTATCATGAAAAATTGAAAAGCAACCGCCAATGGAAATAGTCACAGACTTGTTATGATTCTCGCTGAGCGTTAATTGGTTTCAAAATATTGTTTGCTATTTATGTGACCTGGCACCAACCTTCTTCTGCACTCTAGACCTGGGAGAACATGTTTGGAAAAACCACCGTGAGTGGTTAAAGATCGTTAATTTCAACCAATTCGGATGAAATCATTTGATTTATTTTTTATATTGCGAGACGCAATTATAAAACAGGTAAACATAAAAAAGCTTTGTTAAAGTTCATCAGCCTCCTACTAATTTCAAGGACAAGAGTAAGAGAACTGCCCGATCTTTTTCTGTATAAAGAAGGTAACAATTCAAAAACTCTACTTGCTAATAATCTTTCTTTCAGAAAATAGTATATAATATCGGACACATACGTCAGAATTTTTTCAAATAGGAAAGTTTCAAGAAACACTTTTAGGCCTGGTGGTTTCCAAATTGAAAGAGGGGCCAGCAAGTGGAACATCAGCAAAAGTATTCAGAACTTGATGGGGGTAATGATTCTCAGATCAACTATGATTTAGAAAAAGTATTGTACTCATAAAAAGTAGAATGGGTGTGCTGAATTTAAATGTTTTCAATGAATTGCATTCAATCAATGTATTTTTCATAATAATAATGATGAGTTGTTCTGATTACTGGAGTCCCTGATGGAATAATGTCCTCTCTACTCTCGAATTTTAAAATCATGACGGCTTGCCGCACTGAGGCAGCAATCCTAGCCGGACAAATGCAGAAAGCTGGCATTCTTGGCTCACTACGCTTGCTCAAGGCACATGATTATCAAACCTAATGATCACCCACCCAACTTCTTAACGAAGCCGATTATTTTGTATGGTAAGTACGGCTCTGCTGAACTCCATAAACCTGATTCGATCCCCAGCGGGGCAGGCACAAAGTATGTGCTCTGCTGTTTCATCATTTTCCAAACCGAGGCGACACGCACTGTCTTCCAACAGTCCGAGTGTCTGCATATGATGATTCAAATGACAGTGACCTGTAAGATGACCTGTTAGACATCGTAATTCATCCCTACTGTAGTCCAACAACTGTTTGGTATCAAGCTTCGAAGGGTGAATAAACATCTTGGAGTGATCTAATCCTGGAAGACTCTGCCAGAAGTCCATAAATCTTCTTGCCATCGAGGTGTTCAAGCTTTGTTTGGCAAAGTCAGGTTCTGGTCCGATGAAGCTGCTTGCAGCACCCTCCTTTACAAGGGAGTCAGCAGCCTCATTGCTTTCCAGGCCAGTATGGCCAGGAATCCAGACCAATATAACACATACAAGAGAACAAATGCACAGAAAAACTACAGAAGCAGTTCAGACTGCTTGTACGTGATAAGATAAAAGTGACACATCCTAGTAAGGACATAATAATATTTGGGTTTTTCAATGAAGTCAATTTCACAATTCGGTGAAATGACACTCAGATCGCAGATTTTCCTCCTTTTTTTCTACTTTTTTAATACTCATTTGGAAATTATAATTTTGCTAAACATATCACGTCCCATCTTGAGAATCCAGTCAGCTAAACAATTTTTGTATTTCCTATATTTTCCAACATTCTGAGTCTCACGAGGTACGTACTCAATATGGGATATTTCATTAAGCGCTTCCTATCTTTAAATTTAAATAAAACAAAGTGTCTGTGAGATATCATCGAGATTTTTTATTCGTTTGAAAGGCCAATTGGTGCCATCATGTGTGGAATATAACATTGTTCAAATGTCCGCCACGCTTTCTCTGGGTGGAGCGCATCCGAAACGATCAATTTTCATTACTCTGGCGCATCAATCAGGCTGAATTTGACAGATTGCATGGGTTATGTTGGCGTATCTGTTGAAACTACGTGTTGTTGGTGTCCACATCTTCCAACCGAATCCAACAGTGCAAAAATACCAAAAAAATTTTTGACCTACTGTAATTGAAAATGAAAAAGAAATGTTGAATGCCAGCAACCGAAACTCATGGCCTTCTCGATTCAGGTTTACTGAAACCTGTTATATTAGCGAAGCTACAGTATCATTCATTGACGCTTCCTATCATCGAAATTTTTCATTCGTTTGAAAGACCTATTGCTTACACCTGCGACTTGAGAAAACCCCACGAGAAAATGTCTAACGGGATCACCTCCACGTGATATGGCCATACCCTCAAATCTTTCGTGCAGAAAATTTAGTGTGGCATAAGCTTTGTGGCGCGTAGCTCCGTCCTGTTGAAACCACATGTCGTTGGTGTCCAGATCATCCAATTCAGACCAAAAGAAGTTGATTATCATAGACTTTTAGTGCTCGCCATTGACAATGATGGCCTGACTAACATCGTTCTCAAAGAAATATGGACCGATGACGCAACCAGCCCAAAATCCACACCAAATAGTGATTTTTTCGGGATGCATTCGACGCTCTTGAATCTCATGTGGATTGGTATCGTCCCAAATTCGACGATTTTGCTTGTTCAGGTACCCAATCTTCCAGAAACGGGCCTCTTCGCTGAGGATCATTTTTCGATGAAAATAAGGTCAGTTGCCAACTGCTCCAAAGCTCATTCAGCGAACACACATACGTAATCCAGTCATTTAAGCTTAAATTAGGTAAGAATCTCGGAATTCGAGATACCCAGCTGTAAGTCTGTAAATACTTGTATATTGACACCCTAAAAGTTGTCTCAAAACCTACATATGGTAGGGTGTAAGCAACTATTAAATTTCAAGGTCAAAGGTCACAAAAATCGGTTTTTTGCGCTTTTTTTGGAAATATCTCATTTCCTATGGGTTTTTTGCTATTTGTATT